GAGGAATGAAAACGCAGGCACAAGGCAGTCTTTGGGGATAACCACAAAGGCTGGTTCCTTTCTGGTCCCCATCATCAGTGTTTTCTTCATGAGTTGTCTTGTCTGTTTTTTTAAAAAAATATATTTTATTGATATTTTACAGAGAGGAAGGGAGAGGGATAGAGAGTTAGAAACATCAATGAGAGAGAAACATTGATCAGCTGCCTTCTTGCACACCCACTACTGGGGATGTGCCTGCAACCAAGGTACATGCCCTTGGCCGGAAATGAACCTGGGACCCTTCAGTCCGCAGGCTGATGCTCTATTCACTGAGCCAAACCGGTCAGGGCTGTCTTGTCTGTTTTGACTCTTTACAAGGGGCACCTGTTTATAGAAGGTGTGGCAAGGGCTTGGGTTCTGCTGGCACTTCCTGGTTGACCAGTGAGGACCCTGCACTTCTAGGTGACGTGGCTTGTGTGGCTCAGTCATGCTGGCACAATGAGAGAGGCACAGGGGATGGGGACCCGATGCATTCTGGACGTGGACTGGACAGGTGATGAGAAGAGGAGGAGGAAGAAGAGGATGGAGAGGGGTTAGAGTGGGAGAAGGGAAGGAGGAAAAGGGAATAAAAGAGAAGTGAGAAAAAATGCCAGCATGGGTTATCTTACTAGTTCTCTGGGCCTCTCTGTCTTATCCACTGTCTTTACTCAGAGCAGAACCCCAGGCAATTAAGTTTCCAAAGGTGAGTGGATGAGTGTAGTTCATGCTTGATGGAGTATGTATTTCGGAGGTAGACCAGGCTTTTAAAACTGTAATGTTCATACAAATTGCCTGGAGACCAGGTTCAGATTCGGCAGTCTGGTACTGGGTCTGTGTCTGCCTTTTTAATAAGTTCAAGGGGAAATGCTAGATGTTTGAAGCTCCTTTCATTCCAGGAGTTCTCTGAAAGTGCCTCCTACTTCATAGGAGAGGTGGGTGGGTTTGGTGTAGGCCAGCATCTGTGACAGGGACTCGCTCTGTGATTCCCGTGCAGAGGCCTGAAAAGCTGGGGCCAGGCCCAGAGGAGCAAGTTTACTAGTAACTGATCCTTCATTGACCACTCAGACATAAGGAATGTGGGCGCCTTAACCAAACCAAACCAAACCACAGGCCCTGCAAATGATTTACACTGGTCAACTATATGAAAAAATAGCTTATATAATCTTAAAAAATAGATTCTACAGCCATGTGTCTCTTTTTAAGTATGTAAGGGTGAAGTGAGTTTTCTCACGTACTCCTCACACGAAGGCTTTGGACTAGCCTCGGTTCCATCCACCTGGAAACCGGAAAGGGTTTGCACGTGAAGGCAGCATTCGTGGTGCTGGCCCCTAGTCTCACTGAACCTCAGAGCCCCCTCAGCCCTGACCGCACCAGCAGCTTGAAAGTTGGAAATGCTGTACAGGAGCGGCCCACGGCCAGCCCTCTGGGACGTGCAGGTTGATGAGCTCTCCTTACAGGGTCAGTTCCTCATGTTGGGACCATCCCATCAGTACTTCATTGACACTTCCAAAAATACTGAATATTGAAAACTTCCTAAGCAAATACTCTCAAGGTTTTATTATTATTATTATTATTTGCATAACTAATTCACTTCATTGTACTGATGGGGCGGTCATAATAACCTGGCCACTCAGTGTATACAGAGAGAAGGGACTCTGACCTTGCACTTGTTTGGCAATAACACATCCGTGGCTGCTGTGGCCAGTTCACTGCTTGAAGCTGATGTGTGCGTGGGGATTGCCCTTCCCTCACCTTTGCCTATTCTTCGGCTAAGAGGGGGACTCAGAGTTCGTTCAGGTGCTCCTTGAGTTTCCTCAGAACCCCGACCAGGACAAAGGGCTCAGAGGCTTCCTGAGTGCTGGGCTTGGGAACTGGAGGACCCAAAGAATGGGCTGGGACCCCACTGGCCTCCTGGGGAGCACAGGAGGCTTCGGGGTTGTGTGTGTGCTGGGAGGACATCATCACCAGGAGAGGACCTCCTTGAAGTACCCAAGGGGATCTTTGCAGACCCTGCTTCTTACATTCAGCCCTTTGGCTGGAACTCACCAAGATGCAAGCATTTCATCTCAGCGTAGATGTCAGCAATGACCTGTGGGAGAGTTGGGTCGAGATGAGGAAGCAGATGGAAACGAGAGGATAAGGAAAGGGCAGGAGTCCACTCACCGTTTCCCCCAAGGTTGACTCCACAGGCCTGGCTGAGGGGAGCAGGGAAGCACACTTGGGCCAGGGCATTGGTGTTCCCTGCACATCGCCCCCCACCTCCTTGCAGCTGTCTCCCTGGGGAGAGCACAGACCAGCCCAGGGGGCACTGTTCCCCCTTTTACTCCTCGGGACCCCAACTCTCAATCTGCGAACAGGCAGGCCCGGGAGCCGGGAGACCCGGGTCTCCACCCAGTTAAACCACAGCAGCTGTGTGACCCCAGGCCAGTCGCCTGGCCTCTGAGTCACCGCTTCCTCACCAGGGGGTGGCGGTAATAATGACCGTCTCACACGGCCTTTAGTGAGAACCGAGAGTGATGAACTTGTCAGAGTTCCTTTAAAAATAACTACATTAGATGCTCAGTGTGTACCAGGAACTCTTTAGGAGAGAGGATTATGCTATTCTATTAATCCCACATCAGTCCTGCAAAGTAGGGAGTATCGATTCCTTCTCATATGGAGATGAGAAAACCAAGGCTTGGCGAGGTTACTCACTCTACAGTCACTTCCCCAAGAGGTGGAACTGGATGCAAATACTGCACCTTTGCCCACGTGGAACATCCTCTCGATGAGAAGAGACCCAATGGCCCTCCCTGCTCTGGGTTTCAGATCCCTTCACCTGCACGCCAGGGAAAGCAGCCGAGAGCATGAGTGGGGAGCAGACCCCCCCCCCCTCCAAAATCATGCGTTCACCTTTGCTGCCCTAACAGGAGTAAAGCAGTCACATTTCCTTATCTTGCCAGTGAGAACCATACATTCTTTTTTTTTTTTAATATATTTTATTGATTTTTTACAGAGAGGAAAGGAGAGAGATAGAGATAGAGAGTTAGAAACATCGATCAGCTGCCTCCTGCTCATCCCCCACTGGGGAAGTGCGCGCAACCCAGGCACATGCCCTTGACCGGAATCGAACCCGGGACCTTTCAGTCCGCAGGCCGACGCTCTATCCACTGAGCCAAACCGGTTTCGGCGAGAACCATACATTCTGAGGTTGGTTTCTTCTCTCCTTTCTTAGGGTTAAGTCTTCATTGCTACTCTTCTCAGGAAGGACCTGGGCCATCTGTCCTTTCCCATCTGCCCTGGGACATTTTGGGCAGAAACCAGTTGTGCCCTGGGGTAACTGCCCCTGAGTCAGGAGATTCCTCTATCCCAGTGGTGGGCAAACTCATTAGTCAACAGAGCCAAATAGCAACAGTATAACGATTGAAATTTCCTTTGAGAGCCAAAATTTTTCAACTTAAACTATATAGGTAAGTACATTGTTATTAACTTAATTAGGGTACTTCTAAGGCTTAGGAAGAGCCACACTCAAGGGGCCAAAGAGCCGCATGTGGCTCTCGAGTCGCAGATTGCCTACCACGGCTCTAGTGTCCTTTATGGGAGGAAGCAGAAACCCTAGGCTGACTCAAACCCATTTCACAAACCAAGAATGGAAATCTCAGAGCAGGCGAGCTATGAAAAAGCTCCCTTTTCTGAACGCCTATGACATACCAGAGGATCTTTAAGGTTTCTAGAACCCAGGTTCTATTCCTATTAATTAATAATAGTCTTGCAAAGCAGGCATTATCTCCACTTTATGGATTAGGCTTAGGGAGGTTAAATAACTTGCCTACTCACACAGTGAGTACCTTGAGTCAGGTTGTGAACTCAGTTGTGCCTGACTCAGAAACCTGCATCTCCCCTCCCTCTGCTGGAGAGAGGACCAGCCGCTCCCTGTCCCCGCCTTCCTAGCTCTAGCAGCATGGCTGGAGCCCGTGGTCTTCATGACTTCCTCTATAGCTGAGAATGTCCTGTTTCAACTTAGACTCTGGGGCAAAGACAAATTGCATCATTCTCTTTTTTATTCCTCCACAGTGCCCAGAAAAGGGCAAACGTTCCCTAGTTAGGATGGTAACAGTGGTGGTGGAGATGATGTTGAGGTGGTGATTATGGTGGTCACAGTGGTGTTTATGCTGGTGAAGGAGATGACGGTGGTGAAGGAGGAGACGATGGTGGTGAAGGTAGTGGCGGCGGTGATGATAATTTTGGTCACAAATGGTAATGGTGATGATAGTGGTAGCGACACCTCACCCTAGAACCCAAACTTCCCCTTTACATGAGGAAACATGTTAAGTTTGGCCCAAGATCACTCCCCTTCACTCTTCTTTGGGGTTGTATAAATCACAGAGTAGATAATGCCTTCATCTCTTTCATTCAGGTAATGAACTGAAAGAAGGAATGAGGCTGAAATAGGATCTGCCTGACTGTCCCACATCAAGATATAAGTCAGTGTCGTGGAGCTAATGATGGAGGGAAGCCAGTCAGGGGCTCTGTTGTGGCAGCAGGACGTGTTCATTAATGTGGAATATCCATCTAGGCAGGAGGCGCCTGGTCCTTGCAGCAGATTCTAGCTGCCACTCCAGCTACTCTGTTCAAACTAGAGGTTGGCAAACTTTTTCTGTAAATGAGATAGTAAATATCTTAGGCTTCGTGGGCCATAGTCTCTGTTGCAACCACTCGCTCTAGTGTGAAACCAGCCAGACACAAACAAAAACAACTTTCTTTACAAAAATGCATGTTGGCAGGGATTGGTCCATGGCCACAGTTTGCCAAACCTTAGTCTAACCACCCCCTGCCTTCTCTCCTGGAGGTCAGCTCCCTCCTTGCTTCCCTCTCCCATCCCAACTCCACAGCACTTGCTTCTCAAGATCCATCTGCTTCCTTCCCTGGATGACTGAATCCTGAAACTCTGGCTCACAGGGCTCCCTTTATCTCCTCCCCTTAAGAACCCCTTCCCTGCCTTCATGGCAGACCATGGTCCTGCTGGAATCCTTACCGCTGGCATACAGTGGGTGCTGCTCTCCACCTGGGGCGTGGGGCCGATTCAGGGGTGAGAGGGGCCCTAGGAAATACAAAAGCAGCAATTCACCAAATACCCTCAGAGAGTAGGCTGGGCAGTGGAGACAGAGAGGCTAAGAGAAAAAAATGTCAGTGGAGGCTGCTGGGGGGCCAAGGCTGGTTGGTTTATAAGGGCCAATTCACAGGTCTGGACATGGTTAATTTTTATGAGATGTTTCCTTTGAAAAACACCCTAGAGGGTAGGGTGGCACCATGGGAATCACAAACTGGTAAGAGGCAGGGTCAGAAATGATGGGGTACACTTTGCATGGAAAGGACCCAGACCCACCAGTTGGGCTGCTTTTTAGAAGGAGGAAAAGCTAATAACTTTGTACATTATATACCAGACACTGGGTTAGGGAGTTCAAATTCATGCAAAGCTCCTAATCCAGTGACCAGTACATGGCTGGATGTCTAAAAGACTTCTTTTCCTAATCATTCAGTGTCTGTTTTTCTTCACAACCACCTTGCAAAGGTTGGGACTCTTTTCTCCATTTTATAGATGAGGAAACTGAGGCTCAGAGAGGTAACTTCTCCAAGATCAACCAGTAAGTGGTGGGGACAGAATTGGAATCCAGGTTTGTATGCTTTTCTCCACTAACATGCTGCCCTCTGGTAGCAGATGCTTCCAGAGCTTTAAACATTAGCTCTCAGGTTGGAAACTGGGTCACATGTGGATTTCAGAACGCTTGGCTCATGACCAGTGTCCAAGAAATAGTCATTAGCTCTAACTGGGGTAAGATCTGTGGAAATGGCGCCTCCTGAAATACCAAGAGGACATTTATGGAGACTCAGAGAGGCCCCTGATTATTAAAGATCCCTAATGCTCACCTGTCAGGGCTGTGTTTCTGAGTCTTCACTCAATAAGGAGCTCTGTGAATTTGACGGGAATCTGTTTTATGGGAATATAACAACAGGTAGTGAAAGAAACCCTTTTAAATAAAGAAAGCAGAACATCTATGCCTAGGTAAGTGCTACCGGAAGTGGACTCCTTGCACGACCACATTCTAGTTCTGGTGATACCATTAGTCTAGCTCTAGGTCAAAACGCTTTGAAAATCGCCTTTAGAGGTGCAGTCTGTTGAATATCTTTTTTTTAAACTTTTAAAAATATATATATTTTATTGATTTTTTACAGAGAGGAAGGTAGAGGGATAGATAGTTAGAAACATCGATCAGCTACCTCCTGCACACTCCCTACTGGGGATGTGCCCGAAACCAAGGTACACGCCCTTGACCAGAATCGAACCTAGGACCCTTCAGTCCACAGGCCGACGCTCTATCCACTGAGCCCAACCAGTTAGGGCTGTTGAATATCTTTAGTGGTAAATATTTTTGTTTGTTGAGGAATAAATATGCCACGTGGAAACGGGGAAGGGTCTTCCAGACCCAGGTATGGAGAATAAAGCTGTTGATCTGACCGTTTTGCTTGTGTACTATGGGACTGGGCCTGAGGGTGCACCAGAGTAACATTCTAAAGAAGGCTTCGTGTCCCTGAGACTGAGGTCAGAGGACATCGCCAGGAGTCTTATTTTCATGAGAGACAGGCGCTCCCTGTGAGGGTGGGGGTGGGTGGGGAGCCAGAATCCTCACACGAAGAGGGGTGCTCTTCACTCCCGATGAAAGGCACCTACCTCTTGAGGACCTTTCACCAGTGACTGCTTCTCCACCACCTTGTCTGGGCCGGTAAGGAGCCGGCTGTGCCGTGTTGCTTTGCCTTGAACGCTCTGACTCAGGGGTGAGTGCACAGAAATCCCCGGCCAGGTTGGCCAGGGAAAGGAGGCTTTGTTACAGAGGCAGGGATGGTAGAACTCACAGATCTTCAGTTCATGGCCCCATCTCCAGCTGCCTTCCCATCTAACTCTGGACCAGCCTCACCTTTCTCTGACCACACAGGTGTCAGACTCAAGACTAGAAGGAAGGGAAGTGAGGATGGGCGGTGGGACAGACAAATAGTGCTAAGTTAAGAAGGGGAGAGGAAGTTGGAGGCTGGACCAAGCCCTAACGGAGGTGCCCGGTGAGGTGGGGGACTGGTCTAGAGCTGGGGAGAGACCCTTTCAGGGGTCCTGGCTGATGGTCAGGAAGGAATACTTGGGTTGCATGACTGGTGGCCTTTCTCAAGAGTAGTTTGGCTCAGATCCTGGAGAACTCACCACAGATTCCTTAATAGAGAGAGCTGCAAGCTTGAATAAATACATCTGGGTCTGAGGTCTATGAGCGCCATTACTTTTGCCCTTGACAAGCGGAAAATAAGTATGTTGCTCCTGGAGTAAGTGGATAAATGTGAAACTCTGTAGGCGGATTTGAAGGCCTAGAAGTAACCTGGCGCCAAGTAGCTTTGGCATTGGCAGACTTAACCATGGCCTGAAGCAAGTAAGGGCTAGAGTTGGCATAATCATGTGGCCACCCAAGGTGATGGATTTGAAAGCCAAATTTGATGCCTAATTATTATGCCCAAGACAGGAAGAAGAAGAGAGTCTAGACTAGAGTATCAAAATCAATAGATTACCTAAAGTGCAATTTATCTAATCATTTGCCCTCTTTTTCTCTAAAGAATCCTCTACATTCGAATTTTAACAAAATTTTGTGTTTTTTTCAATGACTCTGATTGGAAGAATTCATGCCCAAGTCAGGAAGAAGAAGAGAGTCTAGAGTATCAAATTCAATAGATTACCTAAAGTGCAACTTATTCTAATCATTTACCCTCTTTTTCTCTAAAGAATCCTCTACATTCAAATTTTAACCAAAATTTGTGTGTTTTTTTCAATGACTCTGATTGGAAGAATTAGAGAATGAAGAATAGGAGAAAGGGCCTCTTGGGGAACCTGCCCTGTCACCTGCTTAGCCTAGACTGGTCCAGGTAAGAAATTAGGAAATAGCAGCGTTGGGACCAGGTCATTGGTCAGTTCTCTTTTGTTTGTGTTTCCTTGTGATGAGTTAACACCCACTGAACACTGACCTAGGGCACAGCACTGCCCAAGAGTGCGTGTGCGTGAGTATGCGCACACACTGGAGTTCTCAGTTCTTCTTTCTCTTCTGCTAAGACCGGAGCTCTGCTGAGTTTAATGAGAGAGTTGGAGGCCTTGGGGTTTTTTTAGTCACCTTGTCTGAGTTTTGTCCTTTGTGTGCCTCTGTCCATGCCCTAGTGTGCAGTCGTCTGTCTGTGTGCGTCTCTGGGTGACTGTGTATGTGTTTCAGAAGCTGCTAAGGGTCCCGCTATGTATGACATGTGACAAGAAGTCCCTCTTCCCACCCCATACCCAGGAGAAGAAAGCACTGGATCTGTCACGCTCTGGCATTCCGAAGGCTGGCCCGTGTCTGGCATAGGGACTCATCACCTAAGAAATTCCAAAAGAGTTACTGACCAGTTTTTCTCCAGGGTCTGAAATAACCCAGACGTGCAGCAGCAATGACCATCACAACAAGCAAACTTGCAGACAGTGGAGGAACCAGACAGTTACTGCTGATCGGAGGGGACAAGGCATGAGGTCCTGGGGGATGAGGAGGCGTGACTATGCATGTTGAGGATGAGATTCAGAAATGTGCTCTGAACAGGCACAAAAGAGGCAGATGGCTGGCATGAGGGGTAAGCCCATGGCCTGGCCTGCACACGCCCTGGAGATGGGAATCAGGGATGACTCAGAGGAGGCCAGCAGGGAAGGGCAGTTATTATGGAGGACTATGTGGCCCTCGCTCTGTGCTGCCCATTCTCCATGGACTTCATTGTACCACCCCCCCACCCCCCCGTTGGTTCAGTGAATAGATACTCCAAGCAGGGTTCACGCTGAGTCGTGCAGTGCCTGCTATGGGCTCAGCACTGTGCCCACCTGGTGGGAGGTACATGGGGTAGTGGGGTCTGTCCTGGCAGCATGGGGCTCAGAGCTGGGTGAGGGATAAGATGGACCATCCAGGGAGAATGTCTCAGGCTGACTTGTCTCCATGGAGACCCTGCTCTCAGCCTCACAGGTGTGGTTCCCAGCATCCTGCTCTGACATCCTTGGGAAGAGAAGGGAGAAAGCTTCGCTGTGGGGGGCTGAGCAGTTCCCCCAAATTTCCCTCCAGGTAGAATGAGTACAGGATAGGAGGGGAGCCCCTCTGAGCCTCACAGAGGAGCTTCACCATGTCCCCCACAGTAAGGCCAGGGGACCTGGAACTCAGGATGAGCAGAGAACAGGACACAGGAGCTGGGGCAGCACCCCAGGTGAGAGATCAGCTAAAACATCAGGACTCCTGGCTCCACCTCCCTTAGAGAACACTCCCCCACTCCCAGGGGGCCCCACTACCCAATGCCCAGACCCCTGAGGAATATCTCCATCCCTCCTCCACTTACCCCACATCCTGATCTCCATCTGGGGGCTCTGTTTCTGGACCATGATGCCCCCAGGGGCTGCCTCACACCAGTAAACTCAGAGTCTCCCCCATGGCTGCTGGGATGCAGAGCTCTGAGTGGAGGCCCCTGCTCTACAAGGTGCAGCCCTCCTTGTAGAAAGAGAAGAGGAGCCATGAGGCTGGCCTCTGAGGGTGGAGTTTTGTCTGGCATCTCAGGGTCAGGGGGCTTCCCTCATGGGGCTTGGGAGTGGGGACGATGCTCAGCATAGGGGGCAGGAAGAGTTCTGGGGAGAAGTTAGCCCACTGCACAGGAGGGAAGAACTACACAGTGAGGCCCCAGGAGGCTGAGGGAGACAGGATCTGGCCTGTCACCTCCCCATGGGCTCTGAGGCAACTCCCACACAGCCCCAGCCCCTGCATCCCAGAGCCAAGGGCCTTAGAGGACATCTAGTCCCCTCTGGTCTGGCCCAGGCCTCAAGAGGGGGATGATGAGTAGCAGAGCTGGTTTAGGGTATCTTCCCACCCCTCTCTTTCCCCTGGCTCCTGATGTGTCCTAGATGTGGGGTGGGGAGGTGGGGGTGGTGTCAGGGCATGTGGACAGCATCCTGGACAAGCTAGGGCCCTGTGGATTGGCCCTGCATCAGGGGCAGCCAGAGGGAGGGGTGCTGCCCAGAGAGCCGCTGACGTCTGAGACCAGATCCCAGAGCAGCACCTTCCTCTCCTCCAATCCCCCAGCTGGTGACTCAAGTTCCCCTTGAACTTGAGCCATGGCTGTCCCTGAGGTGTGTCTGCCCACGTGTAGGAAGTGCATCGCCGCCCTAGTGCAGCTGTACTGGCCACTGTTCCTCACTGTGGCTGTCCCATGGTCAGAGGCTGGCTAGCCTAAAGAAATGGAGGGGTTTTCATCTGTGTAGACCTTCACCTGGGACAGGGCTGAGTTCTTCCTTCCCTGGTATCCCAGTCCGGATGTCTCCTTCAAACATGGGGTTTGGCCAAACCTGGAGGGACATCTGGACTGTGAGACCAGAACAATGTCCCCCTGGAGCTGCAGGACCCTTCAATCCTTTCTCTCACTGTCTCCCAGCCGAGGGCCTCCCACTAAGATGGAGGCCCAGACAGCACTCCGCAGCTGTCCCTGTCCCTCAGTCCCTCATGCCAGGCTAGAACAGGGTGGGACCTTGAGTGCCTTTACTCCCTTTTCCTCTTCTCTCCTCTTCTTCTCTTTATTCCTTCCCCTCCCCTCCCCTTCCCTATTCTCTGCAGCTTCTGTCTGGCCTCCCTCCCTCCCATCTCCTTGTCTCCCTGTGTATTCTACTTCCCTCTACCACCAGGCCAAGCTTGGGTCAAGTTGGATTCTCTCCACCCATTGCTCTGCCTCACTCCTCCTGACCCGATGCTCGCTCCCTGAGGTTGGGTTCTTAGGCCCTGGCTACCTCAGGGCAGCTCCTGCCGCCTCCAGGGAGGTGCTGGAGGTGTGTGTAGCAAGCGCCACAGCCTGGGCTCCCTGCCGCCTGCTTCCCTTGTCAGGCTTCCCCAGGCCCCGCTGCTATTTCCACTCCCTGCAGGAAGTTTTATTTCCATTACAGTCATGGGAAGGGCTCTATAATTTCTGTCCTCACTCCTAAAACGCATTTTGTACCCTGAGGGGGATGAGAGAAGAGCCCCTGGAGACCCTGCATCATCTGCGGGGAAGCCCCAGGCTGGCCGTCCTTCTTTGACAAGCCAGACACTATGGGTCCCAGGTGGCCCCAGGCGCCAGGATGATGGTCCGAGCATACTGATGAGGACTCAGATAGGGAGACTTACCATATCAGCTCCTTGGAGAGGCCCAGCTAACCCTCCTTTGCCTAGATCTCCTTGGGTCTTTAGGTCCCACTCCCCTCACCCTGGAAGAAATGATGCTCAAGGGTAACTAACTGACTGAGGTGCCTGGCGTCCATGACTGCTCTTTCTAGCAGCACCAATTGTTGGTTTGCATTCTCCCTCCCTGGCGTCACAGAACATGTCCTTGAAGGTCAAAATGATTATAGGTCAGAATCTTTTCTTACTTGACAGAAAACTCTGTGGAGGCCAGTGGAACAGGATGGACAGGAGGGCAGAGAGCTGAGGGAGAAAGTAGGTTGATCTGCAGACAACACACCTGTTTCTCTGACCATGAAAAGGAGAGAAGGGAGACCTTGGCTTTGATGAATGGAGAATACAGGAGCTCCAGGCCACTGCAAGGAGGACACAGAGGCCAGACCACTGCAAGGAGGAGACAGAGGCCAGACCACTGCAGGGAGACAGAGGCCAGACCACTGCAGGGAGACAGAGGCTAGACCACTGCAGGGAGGAGACAGAGGCCAGACCACTGCAGGGAGGAGACAGAGGCCAGACCACTGCAAGGAGGACACAGAGGCCAGACCACTGCAGGGAGGAGACAGAGGCCAGAACACT